TTTGTCCCTCCAAAACCTGGCCCCAGCCGCTCCCTAGCCAAGGGGCAGAACCCGGCCCTGAACCTGGATTTTAAGTCTCCTGCCTTGGGACTGAGGGGTTGTGCATGACCAGAGCAGAAAAGCGGCTGGGGGAGGAGATTGCAGCTTGCAAGGGGGAGGAAACTCAGGCTGGGCTGTGGGGCATTCAGCCCCTCTGCCGAGCAGGCCTGACTTCTGGGCCTCTCCAAGGCACAGGAGCGAGGCAGAGCCGGGCTGTGCAGTGACCCAGGGCAGGGCTTAGAGCTGCAACCGACCCATTTCATCCTGGATCCAGGGGGGGGTGCCGTACCCCCAGGAGACGATGCCCTGGGCCTTTCCCCCACATACCAGAGGGCCGCCAGAGTCGCCCTGCAGAACAAAACAGGCCAGGGATGGAAAACGGCTCAGTGAAACGCCGATGCGACCAAGCCCCTGCTTGGCCCCTGCCAAGCCCAGCCCACGTGTCTCAGCCCGATCCCCCACACACTCCCTCGGAGCAGCGATGCACGAAGAGCTTCAAGCCAGGACCACATTTACCTGTGCAGAATCTTTGCAATTCTGTGACTGCCCCACACACATCATGGTCTCCGTGTCATAGTCATCATACTCCGAGCACTCGCTATCCTCTATAACCTCCACGTTCACCTCCCGCAGCGCGTTGGCACCAGATGAACTATCGTTAGCGATAGTGCGGCCCCAGCCGGCCACACTACACACGGTCTCAGACTCCACCCCTACATTGGCTTCAGGCAGGGCGATGGTCTTCACAAATTTGTTCCGCTTTGCAGCCTTCGCCAGCTGTGACATAGGAAAGATGAAGATAAACATGAGGGTCGCGCTAACGGGAAAAGAAATAGACGTCATCCCAGTAAAACAAAGAATTTTGTTTCTGGGACATACTGATGGGTAAAAGACCATACTGGGGATGGGGGATGGGATGGGGCGGTACCTGCAGCAGTGTGAGGTCACTGGGGGCGGGGCTATGGAAGAGGGGCGGTACCTGCAGCAGCATGATGTCATTTTTTAAGGTCTTCTGGTTGAACTGGGGGTGGGGGATCTGCCGGCGCACGGGGATCACTTGCTGGCTGTCTTCTTCCTCACTGATGTCGTGGGCTCCCAGTTTGACGGTGATCGCGCTGTGAAAACCATGTGCCACCCTTGAGGCCTGGGGGGTCAGGCAGCTGCTGGCGGTGGGGGCCGGGCTCAGGGGGGGCTCACCCCTGAGAACTGACTGGGGCAGCCTGGGGTCTGAGGCCAGGATCCAGAACTCAGCGACTTTACCCCCCGGTCCCAGCTCCCCTGCACCCCATTGATCTTTCCCAGCTCAATCCAGGCAGGGGTCCATGCCCAGCACCCTGCAGAGCTACCCTGGGGATGGGACCCCTCCCTGCCTCTCCCTCCTATTGACTTATCCAGTCCGCGGGCTGCAGAGACACCTAGAGACTCACTGATGCCCCCTGACCGAGTCAGACCCCTGGGCTCTGCTTCCCAGCTCCCCTTCCCGTGTCCACCCGCACAGCCCATCCCAGAGGCACTTACTCTCCCCGGCAGTGAGCGGCCGTCAGCACAAAGTCCTTCGCCACCAGGAACCCGCCGCAGTAAGAATTCTTCTTTCCACGTCGTATTTTCAGGTAGGCCATGTAGGGCCTGGAGTGGGGCTGGGCTTCCCAGCCCCCGATGATCTCAGCTTGGGGGAGACCGGGGCCATACATAGAGACTCCCCAACTCGCTGGGCTGGGCTGAGACCGACTTCCACATTGCAAAGTGGAGCCTCCACAGCCCCAGCCTACCCCCTGCGATGCTCTCCCTGGGGGCTCCCTGTGGCTCAGCTCTGCCCCACAACGGGCTCCGCATGGGATAGGAGGGGAAGCCTAAAGCTCTGATCTCTTTGTGGCAGGAACTGTTGCCAGATGCACCAGCAGTGGGTGAGTCACCACCCGGACTTTCCACAATGGCTTTTGTGGCCAAGGTCGAACCCGAGCAGGCCTGGCAACCCCCAGACAGGGAGGTGCTGATTCCGGGGGTGGGGAACGGGACCCGGGGCCTTTCCCTTTGGGTGCAGCTCGGAGCCGCTGTCACTGACCCAGGGGATCTTTTTTTTCTTTTCTCTTGCTCTTGCTTCCCTGCACAGCGGCTGACACCGAGGTTATCGGCGCTGGGTGAGACAAGCCCCCCCACATCTTCTGTCACAGACATCACCACTGAACAGGGCAGTGACACGTTTTCATCTCTGCCTGGGGAGATCTTTCCCACCACCTTCCTGCAAACTTTCTAGCTCAATTTGCCTTCCCTCAGGACCCCTCCCACAATCCCCTAGTGCTGCCTTTGTGCACCCGGTGTTGTGAATGCCGGAGAAAAGAGACAGAGGGAGGTTATTTGAGTAGTCTCCTTCCACCATTTGTAATTGTTTCTCTTCTTTTTAAATTATCTCCTGCTGGGGCTTAGGAGACCAAAGGTCTGTGCAGACACACGACCCAAGATGTTTGTTCACCATGATGCTCATTTTTCACCCAGGTCCAACATCCTTCCACGTGAAGGGCCATTTTACTTTATTAACACCCAGTTGAAGCATCGTCTAGTCTTTGTTTCTGGGTTCACTCTACCTGCCACTGTACCTGCGACAGCTATTTTATCAGGACAATAATGGTCTGTAAATTATGAGGCACACTTGGAATAAAATTTATCATAATTGTGTGTGCAACAATGGGGTATAATCTATCACATGCCCTGACATAAAACTGATAGAACCCAGACCCTGAGAACCTCCATTCACCCCAAAGTCCCAGGACCCCAAACCCAGCTGTACTCACCAGTCCTAGTCCCAGGCGACAGCAGAAAGGCCATGGGGAGGAGAAACAAGATGAGAACTTGCATGTTCACAGTCAGTGCTGGGCAGTGCCTCTGCCACAGACCTGCAGGGTTTTTCTAGACTCCGCCAGTGGGGAATTCAAGGGGGCAGGAAACCGCAAAGTCACGCACATGCTCATCTAACTGCAGGGCTCAGGTGTCTGTTTCCAACCACAGCCGACCACACGGGCTGGGGGGAAGGATAGAACATGAGTCAGTCCAGTAGCTGGGTCCCTGCACAGCTGGCCGGATGATGCACCACTGGATGGAGAGGACCACAGTGGGGACGTGTCCAGCAGGGACGTGTCCAGCTGCTCTGGGTGCTGACTCACAGCTGGGCACATCTGGGGCTCTTATTCACCAAGCCGTGCCCTCGCTCAGTTCCCTGCCGGTGTCTCTGGGCTGGGCGCTGGGGTGGCAGGGACTGATCTCGGTGGGGGTGGGAACAGAGCCCTTTGATCTGTCCCAGGGTGGGGCCGGACCTGAGCCAGCTGGGGCTGGGCAGAGCAGGCATCAGCCCCCATCCCAGCGACCACAGGGGGAGGGTTTCTGAGAAGCCCCCCTGAGAGTCTGTGACCCCACATGCAGGGGACGTGGCCGTTTCTGTGATGTCCTACACCTGGGAGCTGTGGCCGTGCAGAGGGGAAATGGCACAGCCGAGAGACGTGTGGCAGACCCAGCTTGGAGATCCCCTCCATTTCGCCAGGCCCCTGCTCTCACCACTAGACCACACTCCCTTCCCAGAGCTGGGGAGAGAGCCCAGGTGTCCTGTCTCACAGACAACACACGGCTGTTAGGGACAGCCCCCGCACCACAGCCCTCCCAGCGCTGGAGACAGTTTGTGCCAACCGGTGAGATACTTCCCGAGCCCCTCCGGTCTGAGCCCCGACAAACTCACTGCACCCAAGGCCCCTCTGCCCTGGGATTCAGCCCTGCCAGGTGTGGGGACAGGGGTCTACTGAAAGTTGGCATCTCCTCAAGCCGTGTGCTCCCTGTGAGACGTGAGTGCGGGGGCTGGTTCAGGGAGAACGTCTCTAGCCTGATCTACAGCGTATGTGCTTGGCGGGACCATCCGGGGAATTTCTCGGCCCGGTACCGGCCTGTTCATGGAGCAGGGAGCCGTCGGTGCTCCCTGCTAACCGGGAAAAAGTGTCCTGTGACAGATCCCCCCCTCCCCGTGCTTTCTGAAATGGACTTCTGGACCCCAACGTGCACAACTCGGAGATACTTGGGAACAAAACTGTCCCACGTAACTGATCGATCTCCATGGTGTAATCCCCTGGCTCCGTGTCTGTTGCTTTGCTTTGTGGATCACCCTTGTGTGGGAGGCTAGGGCTACGGCATGGGGAAAGCTTCGTGGTTTCACAAGCGCCAAGGGAAGCCAGCCAGGGTGTTACCCTCAAGCTCTGGTCCTCTGTCCACAGCCCCTTTTACCGCCGTGGTGCTTGGTGCTAGGAAACCACCTCGCCTCCCCAGCGAGTAGTCACTAGCCACGGAAGGGTGGAAGCTAGAAACACAATTCCCGCCCCAAAGGTGGAGTCTCTAAACCAGCGTTTCTTAAACTGTGTTCTGTGGTAGACCCGTGTGCCGTCAGGCAGTCGGAGGTGTGCCGCGGAGAACAGCAGAGTGAAAAATGGCTGCCCTTAAAGAGGCAGGCAAACCTTTTTCTTTTTTTTTTGGTAAATTATTTTCCCCCGCATCTCCCCCCATTTTTTGTCAATAACTCCCACCGGCATTTTTTTTACTCAACAAAATATCCTTGGTGTTCCCCATAAAAATAATTATTTTGCTAAGAAACACTGCTATAAACCAATGGGAAGTGGGCAGTCTCACTGTCTTTGGCTGGTGCGACACACGGAAGAAAGGGAGCCAGAGACCCTGGAGGGAGGGACGGCCCTGGTTTGAAGGCCGAGCTGGAACAGGAACGGTGTTCGGGTGAGTTTGTAAGAAGTTTGCACGGAGGTGTCACTGTTTCCTGTTATTGTAAGCGCCTGATCTATTTTACTCTGCCCGTTTTCACTTCTAACCACTACAATCCGGCTGCGTGTACTTAAATCACTTTTATTGCCTCTCACACTCTGCCTACCTGATTGTTACGTGGGAGCTCATTCGCCCTGTCCTTGCTAATGGGGGCTCACCCGAATAATTCCTTCAGGGTTTGATTCCACGTGGGGAGTGGTATCCTAGGAAGCTGCATTTTTCTCAGACCGGAAGGGATTTAGGTCTGTGCTGCTTCGCGAGGGAGCAGGGATCTCGGCTGTGCCTTGGCTGCAGGAGACCAGGAGATTGGGCCCAGTAGGACCGGGCAGTGAGAAGAGCCAGAGAGCAAGGTGAGTGCTGGTGGGAAGCACCCCAAGAGCTTTTCTGTGACCCCCTGCACCCCGTCACATGTCCCTGGCAAGCCCAAGCAGCTGGAATTGACTAAATTAACCAACTCAGAGCCAGAGGCCAGGATGTTCAGTTGCGTGTTTATTTCACTCAAGCTCGGCACGGTCTGACAAAACCCCCTTGATGCATGAAAATTGCTGCCTGCGTTAACCTCACACGTCATGTCTGTGTTCCAGGCTGCGTGGAACTATGTGAGTTTGACTTCGTAACTGCGATGGAGGGGAGGAGCGCAGTCCTTTTCTTAACATCCCACCGCTGCCACCACGTCCAGGCTGTTCCCCACTGTAGCACTCTGCGTGGGGGTCCGCGAGAGAGCCACTAATGGCTTCTGTTTTAAAACCTCCCCAGAGTCCCTGGCCTTGGGAGAGAGGACATCACCCAAGTAAAAAAACCTTCCTCCGACTCAATGTGAATATCCAAGGCAGTGGAAATTGGCTTTGTAGCACCTTAACCAGTTAAAATCTGTATTCTAGCCCAGGTTGACTGCGCCAAATTTGCAGATGAATCAAAGTTCTGCCGTCACTCTGCCTTTGGGAGGAAGAACGGCTAATTTCAAATCCAGGACTGCGTGTCCATCTGGGTTAAAATGTTCCCCTACATGTGTTATTAGAGATTGGTTTGGTTTGTTAATCCCCATATGTGGCCCCAAGTCAAACTCCTTCCAGAATTACAAGTACACACCTTCAACACGGGTCTCAGCCAAAGTTGCAGTCTGACCCAAAGGAGACCAGCTCAGTGACGAGTTATCTTTTACTGGGTCCAGTGCTTTTTTGGTGACAGTACCGGCACCTCCAGTCAGAGCTTACCTGGAAAGAACGGAGCGTAATCGCACGTCTGTACGCAAATGTCTGACAGTCAGCTAGGCCGTGTATCCACGAGGAGTCACCATCGTTCGAGTTAGGATCTTTAATTCAAACTACCTACTTTGTGCCGTGTGTAGCCGGGGGCAAGGAGTTCGGACTAAGGGGGATTTAAAAATGGCGGCGCCCAGGAACACGCAAATGAAGGCCGGGATATTTAAATCCAGGGCTTCATTTGCAACTCCGCTTGCCCTCATTTCCCTACCTAGCTTGAACTAATCAGCTAGCGTAGACATACACTCTCTCTCCCTCCTTCTCCTACTGCCTCCCCCCTCTCTCTCAGCTCTCCTCTGCCTTCTGCCTCTCTCTCCGTCTCTTTCTTTCTCTTCTCCCCCTCCTGCCTCTCACTCTCTCTCTGCTCCATCTCCCTCTTTCTCTTCTCCCCCTCCTGCCTCTCATTCTCTCTCCGCTCCGTCTCTCTTTCTCTTCTCCCCCTCCTGCCTCTCACTCTCTCTCTCCTCCATCTCCCCCCTTCTCT